CCTAAAAAACGGAAAAGTAGACATTTTTTCAGAATTACCAGATAGCGAATACAACAAGGTTCAGCAGAAATTACTAGAACTCTTCCCAGCAAGCATAAAATTTTACAAATGTTCGTATCACGCTTTAGACTTAGAAACCGAACAAGAAACCTATAAGTGGATAGCGAACTACCACAAAAAGGAAACAGGACACGCCGGAATAGTAGAAAACTATGAAGGGCTGAAAAGAGCAATATACTATAAGGATCTGAAGAAACTGACATTGACATATGTAGTAGAGCAAAATAGGACAGAAGGCCGATTAAACCAAAATTTAAGTATACAGAGACCCCAAGTGAATGCAATCAGATAGTTCACGTAGACATTTATATTAACAAAAAACACAGATTCTTAACGTTAATTGACAAATTTTCTAAACACGCTGTAATACTGTACTTGGATGATTGAAATCATATCACCACAATAGAAAAACTAAAGCTGTATTTTTCACTAAAAGGAAAGCCAAGAAAGTTTATAATGGACAATGAATTCAACTCAGTAAACATTAAAGATTTTTTAAACGAACAATCAGTCGAGGTACACTATACAAAACCAGATAGCCATACAGGGAATGCCGACATTGAAAGGTTTCACAGTTCTTTAGGCGAAAAGATGAGAATTCTAGAAATAGAAGAACCCAGACTGACAACTCAAGAGAAAATGTACAAAAGCTTAGAATGGTACAACAACTCCTTTCACTCAACTATAAAATGCAAACCAAAAGAGGTTATAGAAGGAAAAGTAAGCAAAGAAAAAATTCAAAAACTTAAAGAAGACACAAAAACGTATAATTGATAATAGAAATAAAAAAGAGAAAATTACAATCGAACAGATGAAGAAGGATATGTTAAGAACTACAGAGCACTTAGGCATAAAAATGAACCCAAATATAGGAAGTTACACTTAGCTAATATACACCCAGCAAAAATAAAAAAGATCAACTAAATTTTCAGGTACGCTGGAGACTAATACGTTTCACACTAAAAGCACCACCACAGACAATTTAGGCTACACTCATCGTGGAAAAAATCGAAAGCAAGGGCTACACAGAAATCTTTTTAGAAAACATATATTTAATTCATAATTTCAACACAATATTACACATCATAGACATATCCGAAATAAAAAATATTATAAACACTTTAGAATCAAACATTGAAATTTTAACACATAACAAAAACTACGGCTACCTGCATAATGAACTGAACACACTTATTACAAAATGCAAACACTCGTAACACATAGAAACAAAAGAGGACGTGGCAATATAGTAGGAACAGGAATGAAATGGTTATATGGCACAATGGATGACTAGGAGAGAACGGAAATAGAGGAACATCTTAAAGTAATAGACGAGAACAATCATAGAGCCATTTCTAACTTAAATAGAAATATAGAAATAAAAAACCTTTTTCAATAAAACATTTACAGACATTAAAAAGACAATAAAAGACGATAGAAAAAAAATTGAAGATAGTATAAACGGACAACAAAAATTACAAAATATAAAGTTATACTCGGCACAGTATAAAATTAGTAAAATAATTTTTGTTATTCAAATAAAATAAAAGAATTGGAATATCACAGAAATACACATAAGCCAATAATTTGGACAACATTCGCTACTACTATCATTATCGTTGCAATAATTTTTGCCGTAATAATTTACTTCTTCATTTTTAAAAATCGTAAAGTTTCAGACATTAATATACTTATGGAAACTCAGGGGAGTCTCCAATCAAGAGAGGGAGGGGTTACGTCACCGCAACGTTCCAAAACCAAAATAAGCAATGATGACAAACTACAAGTTTGTTGGAGCCAATGACCCAATTGCACCAATAATTCCGATTTCGTCAAAATGACTACAATGCATTTTTAGCAACGTAAACACAAAGTGTCAGCAACCCGTATTTCTTAATTGTACTCTCAAATTTCAATTTCATTCGCATTACCAAATCACATATTTAGCTAAGTAAGCATTATTGTAGAATATAAGCGAATTATTGTAACAACACAAGGGGAGATGTAAAATAAAGTATAACAATCAACAACAAACGAATAGTTGTTTTTTTTTGGTTGTTGCCGGTACATTCGACCTAATTGTGGGCATGTGTTAGTGATATCCTCGGCAGAAAAATGGAGAAAAAAACAAGTATCCCTAGCCGAAAGGACAACTTTCGTTGTAGATTTACGTGAGTACCTGCCGGCGACGGCCTTACCTCACGGTGTTCAAAAACACAACGTATCAATACAATGCGTTGATCAGCGCCCCAAACAATACGAGCTTTTTGCAAGTATTTATTTGGATACCAGTGGCAGTGTGTCTGGGTCCACACTACCATCTTGGTGTGATTCGAGGCCGACCTAAAACCTCTTCCGTTTTCGGGTACGGCACCCAGTTACTTGTGTAACTTCTTTTTTCGAACTGAAAATTCAGTTCTTCCAGCATTTAGGTTTAAACCACAGCCACCACGATACTCCCCAAAGGGCCGAACCCAATGAGCAGATTGAACAGAAGTCCAAGGGCTTTCTGCTCCCCGTGGTACCGGAAAGTCTCCGGTCAGACTGCGTAGCTAAACTACTGCCAGTTGAGCTCCCCATTACTCAAATGACTGGTGACATTTGTCGCTTGAACTTCAAATGTCTTTTTATTAGCTTTTTTCATTTAAAGTGTTTCTAATATCAGTTCAAGCTGAGTATTATAGCACTATCACTCCACATACTATGCTGATATTACTGTGCAAAGAATATAATAACAGTCATAGTGCATATTGGCTTTTAGTCGCCTTTTACGACAGGCATGCCTTGCAGCGGGCATATTCTATCCCCTGCCCGCAGGGGTAGCCGAAAGGACAATCATAGTGACGCGTGTCGAAACCACAAAATTAACAATCAAGTATCCTCTCGGAGGGAGAAAAGAAAAAAACAAAAAAAGTACAGTCACGCGAGTGAGAGGCGAATAAAAGGCCCGAAAATCAAAAATACGGCTACGCGAGCACGACGCGAACAAAAGGCCCGAAAATCAAAAAGTACAGCTACGCGAGTGCACATATAAAAAAAACACAAAAACCGATTAAAATACCAAAAAAAAAAAAGTTCTAATACCAAAGATTTTTAAAGTTTAAAGAGTAAGAATTGTGGAAAATATTTTCGCGTGAAGTAAGAAATCAATTTATTCTTACTAATATAGTATTGTTTTATGGGTAGAGCGATTGCAAGCAAACGAGTGTAAACGCTGTCAACAAACGAATCTTAAAACAAGTAAGGAAGGGCTAAGTTCGGATGCAACCGAACATTTTATACTCTCGCAAAGTCAAATAGTATACTCGTTTGAGATTTCTTTGTGGATTGACTGATATTTTCGGTAGAAGGTCAACTATAGCCACTGGGGTCCACATATTTAGTACTTAGGGGCTTGAACAGTTTTGGTTCGATTTAGAAAATTTTTGGTCACAAGGTACGTAGGTAAACGTATTATTCACGCAAAGTTTTACCCCGATATAATCATTGTTGCTTGATTTGCATAGTGGAAAGTGAAAGAATCAAGTGGTATTTAAAATGGTGTCATATGGAAAATAGGCGTGGTTGTAATCCGATTTCGCCCATTTTCGCGCTATGACATAGAAACATGAAAAGAACGTTATGCACCGAATTTGGTTGAAATCGGTGAAGCAGATCTCAAGATATGGGTTTTCACCTAAAAGTGGGCTGTGCCACGCCCACTGTCTAATTTTGAACGCGGTTCCTATAAAGTCATCTTATACCATCTCAGAGATAAAATTTAATGTGTCTGGCGTGTTTAGTGCTTGATTTATCGCGCTTTTAGTAGTTTTTAACAGTACCGTTATATGGGGAGTGGGCGGAGTTGCCACCCGATTTCAACTATTTTCACACCGTCAATAGAAGTGCTAAAAACATTTGCTTCCAGTGAATTTTGTTATTATAGCATTAGCGGTTTAGGAGATATGCACATTAAACCTATTACCACTTTAAAAAAAAAATTATAACTGCAGATGCCCCTCCTTAATGTGATCCTGTGTACCAAATAACAGTCTTGTATCTTATTGCGGAGCTTAGTTATGGCAAGTTATTTGTTTTTGATTAATGGCGTTTTGTGGGCGTGACAGTGGTCCGATTACGCCCATCTGCAATACCAACCGTCTCACGGTACCATGAAACATGTCTACCAAGTTTCATAAAGATATCTCAATTTTTACTCAAGTTAGAGCTTGCACGGACGGACGGGCAGACGGACAGACGGACGGACAGACGGACGGACGGACAGACAGTCACCCGGATTTCAACTCGTCTCTTCATCCTGATCATTTATATATACATAACCCTATATCTAACTCGATTAATTTTAGGTGATACAAACAACCGTTAGGTGAACAAAACTATTATACTCTGTAGCAACAGGTTGCGAGAGTATAAAAACCCTGTTACGGGTATAAAACCCATTTAAGGAGCATAACTTGTGTGTAAGAACATAAGGTGAATTTGGGAATTAATAGAACCTACTTACCCTATTAAGTCTTTTAAAATTGTAAGGATATATTTACACATATTTTAAAAATGCATAAACAAATTGTTAAAGAACACAAAAAATTCGATTTTTGATCATGCAAAAAATTTGATAGTGATCGGATCATTTGTGTCCGAGTAATCACTCAAGCAAATTTAATAAATGTTATTTTGAGAAAAAGCATATGAAGATAAACTGATGGATTTTTAGAGGTATAGAATAAAGGAATTCCTAATATCTATATTTTTATATATAAGTACTTGTTTGTGTACAAATTTATAATATTACTTTATATATTTACTTCTCTATCGTTTTCCGAAAGTCATGCCTCAAAAAGCATTCTGTCAATAATATTAAGTTAAGCAAAACTTATGTAATCAAACCTTAACACATGTACATAAATAATTATTACTAATAATTTCTCTCTTTCCCTCTCTTATCGATTACAGCCTTCTTTATGGGCGGCGTTGCCGGTTTTGGCGTAACTGCTGGTGCTCATCGCTTTTGGACACATCGTTCCTTCAAGGCCAATGTACCGTTACGTAGCATATTGATGCTTTGCTTCTCGGTGGCCGGGCAGGTAATGAAATACCAGTAGTAAATTAAGTAATTAACCTGCATTACTAACAGATTACAATCACTCACTGTACTTAGACGAGTGCATTGTCTATTGTTCGCATGTTTGTTAGCGTGATTATCAATTACCGTCAGCACTATATTTCCGGTTTAAGTGTGTTTTATAAGAAAGACATGTGTGTTACTTATAATGAATTGAAATTGTTAAGAAAATGTGTTAAAGCAAGCCATTAACAGGGTTAATTAAGCTTTTAATTAGCCGGCATTGCTTGTGCATGCCGATTTTATTGCCAATTTTTGAATGCATTAACTAACATTTTTTAATTATGCCTAAAGTGGCATTGCTATTCATGTGAGCACACATTTATATTTACTTATTCATACATAAAGTACACGTACGCGTTATTAAATGTGTGTATTATGTCTCAAAATTAACAAAAAAACAGTTTCTCTCTATACATTTGAACTGAAGTTATTTTAAAAGTCTCCACATTAACACAAAGTAGCTAATTGTATTCTATACAAGTATATCCTAATATGACAAATTTTTTTTGTTAAATTACTAACCATGAATATATTGTACAATACATGACCATGGAAATTGTTTTTGGTATAGTATTCCCTGCGTAATTAGTACGCAGTTATTACATTTTTCAGGTTATTTAAATCACTAGTCTGAATTTCGTCACATTATTGAGTCAATTTGAGGTAATTACACTTAATTTTTGATGAATACTTAACCGTTGGTTTAATAATGTATGTAATAATAAAAGATTACTAAACTATTTTAGGATATATTGCTATACATTACTAATCCCTTAATCTTGCTCTATCAGAAAAAAAAGTTTGAAAATTTTCTAAAAATTCATCAACTTTTTGTAGAGCAATTAAGTGGGGCATACTGTAAATCCAATTTGCATATCTTTGCGTCAATCTTTTTAACAATTTATAGTTGTAATAAAAATAAATATTTTTACACCTCAATAGGGCTTGGCACCTTGTAAAATATTTAAGTACATTCACATAAGTTTGAAGTCCTCAGAAATATTTTAATTAAGTGTGTGTTGTGTAAACAGCCATTTACTGAAACATTCAAATAGTTATGCCATAAAAAATTTAAAATTTTTGTTTAAAAGTTGCGTATTTTCTCTGGAAGTTTACAGCAGACGCTTAATTCATAAAATTAGTAAATTTACTCTATTGGTAATAAATGCGAAATTCGCTAATTGAATAAATTAAACACTTGTCTAAAACTCCTATTATTTCCATATGAAATCGCTTACAAAGAAATCTTGACTCTACGCCTTTGTTTTTATCTTTATTTCTTCTTTTTTTCGCTTTTCAGAATACGCTCTACGATTGGGTGCGTGATCATCGTGTACATCACAAATACTCGGAAACCGATGCTGATCCACACAACTCGAATCGTGGTTTCTTTTTCGCTCACGTCGGCTGGCTTATGATGCTGAAGCATCCAGAAGTTTTACGTCGCGGCCGTCAACTGGATTTGAGCGATGTAATGAACGATCCTGTCGTGCAGTTCCATCAGAAATACTTTATACCCTTGAAAATAATGCTCTGCTTTGTATTGCCCACCATGGTGCCAATCTACTTTTGGGGTGAGGAATTCCATTTGGCCTTCATTACACAATGTCTCTTCCGTTATGTTAGCAGTTTGAACTTCACATGGTCGGTGAATAGCGCCGCTCACATGTTCGGCACACGGCCTTATGATAAGTAAGTAGAAATTTTCTTTTTATTTATATGATAAAATCCTGTTATCTGATTTTAGTTACTCCCTATTAATTAACTTTTACTCCTTTTCTTTTAACAGTCGCATCAGACCCACTGAGAACATTTACGTCTCTATCATTGCCATGGGTGAAGGCTGGCACAACTATCACCATGTTTTTCCCTGGGACTACAAAGCAGCTGAACTTGGTAACTATTTTGGCAACTTCACCACAATGATTTTAGATGCCTTCCATCGTATTGGTTGGGCTTGGGATATGAAGGAACCGTCGAAGGATTTAGTGCGTCGCGTTATTGACAAATATGGTGATGGCACACACCCCACGACAGATAGGTCAACTGAAACACCATCGGTTGGACATTTTCATTATGCGGAGATACCCGATCCTGAATTTGACGCATCCGATGCTGAGTCGAGCAGCACGGAGAGCACAAAGCTAGATGAGAATGAGAATTTGAAGAAGAAAGTGCAAACGTAGAATTCAGTTAGTAGTTGGTGATTAAAATGCTAACTATGGACTGGGTGTAAGTGAGCGTGAGACGTCAGAGCTCCTAAAAATATGGACGTGTGGCTGTTTATTTAATTTTTTTTTCATAATGCGTAAGTAAGTGCATATGTCACATGCATATAGTATGTATGTATTGGCATAAATATGTGCTTATAATAAATAATGGGTGTTCCGTTTATGCATAGATATACATACTTATACATACATTATAGAAATTATATTTGCATAATTATCTAGAAACAAAAGCCGGGTAAGATACATATGTATGTCATTCGTTTTTTGTCGGGTTAAGTGGAATGCACATTCAAGCACTTTGGAATAAATAAATAGGTTTTTAAGTGAAAATATGACAAATGCGTCACAAGTAAAAGATATTCTAGTAGCAGCATGTAAGAATCTTAAATTTATGAAACATTTTTTGTACTATGTAAACACACAAGCGAGATAATTGTGCTGCAAATGATTTACAATTAGTCAGTTAAGGCAACTTTCTCAATCACAATGCAAATTTATATTACTAAAATTATTTTTATTAGTAAGTAAGTGTGTTCATTTGTGAACGAAATTTTGATGTACAATAAAAAAATATATCAAATTAAATTACTAAACGTTAAAAAATATTTACTGGTCTTTTATTAAAAGTCTGCAAATTTTTGTTAAATTGTCTGTCCTCAATACCTTCAGTACAAGAGAGAGGCATGGTGCCTCATAGTCCTTAAATAGGCCTCTGGAACAACTGACTCAAAAAATATAAAAACGATTTTCATTAGTGGACAAATTCAAAACAGTAATATTTTACCATCTGATCAAATTTGACCCGGACTGGTACAATTAAACTGCGCGCGCTAACATAATCGATACATTTTTTTTCCCTACATTAGTACGACCTTTGGTTGTGTTCGTGTGAAGTGTGATCTGCCTGTGTCAAATAGTGTCCGTCTGTCAGCTGTTTTTTTACGACGCGCACACTTTGTTAGGCGACTTTTCATTGGAAAGAAATGTAACAATGAGTTTGCTAGAAATTTGGTGTTTCCAATGGAGCCATGGCTTCGGTGAAATCTTACATACGTGTTTTGGGGTGTTTACTTTATCACCAACACAAGTATTTGAGTAGAACAACGCATTTAATGAAGGTCGTGAAATCATCGAAAACTTACCTCTGTTAACGACGATAGCATCGAAAAGTAGAGAGAGATAGCAGAGGATCTCAACATCTCTAATGGATCGACTCAACACATTTTGGTTAATATTTTGGGTATAAAGCGTGTTAATATTAGATTCGTATCAAAAGTTGATGAACCTTTTGCAAAAACGACGTCGAATAGAGGTCGCAAAAGAGTAGACAACGTAGCTGACATGCCGTTCATTCAACGCATTATTATTGGTGACGGGACGTGGATTTATGAATATGACGTTGACAGTGTACAATAATAAGTGTATGAAAAATTGTATTAAGCGTTGGCATGCCTGTTTTGGCTCAGAAACCTACTTTGAAGACGATAATAAAATATTGTACGTAAAATACATTGGTATATATGTTGTTATGGGTTAAGATTATTACGGCATGTATCGTTCGATTATTTACCAGTCGCTTATATCAGCTTGGAACATTGGCGGTTTTTCTGATGGCTTTAACTTTTTCAAGATTTTCTTATTTATCTGTCACTCCAAACTGTCGAAGAACGAACATTCTATTATAATATGAAACACGTCAGCTCAGTTCTCGAGATCTCTTTGTCGGATTTTTGTTCTTATTCTCTATTATGCATAACTTGCTTGATATACGCTTTAAGGGGTTTAACTTTAATGGTTTGTTCGCATAGCATGGATCTTTCCCCGATGAAACCGGTTTACGTACCTTGGCCCGTAATTTAAAAGTCCTTAATTTCTCGTTATAGTACAAGCGGGTTTTCCGAACCCTAGATAGCTAGTTTCTTCAGATAACTAAACATGTGCTTTATCAGGAAAGATATGGTAAGGCTCAAACCGAGAAACGATAATAAAAGACAACCTTAAATAGCTCCGTGTTATGTTACTGATCTTCTGTCAACTGAAGTTATAGTATGTATCTATTTAAAACCTATACAATGAAGGGAATAACTCAATGAAGCGTTTTTTAATGTTAGTTAGACTCCAGAAAGTACGAAAATGTATGAATGAAAATGATTTGACCGTCTGTCTGTCCGCCTGTGCTAACTGTAACTTGAGTAAAAATAGAATTATATTTATGAAACTTGATGCACATGGTTCTTGGTACCGTAAAACGGTTGGAATTGCAGATCGGCGTAATCGGACCACTGCCACGCCCACAAAACGCCATTAATCAAAAACAAATAAATTGCCATAACTAAGTTCCGAAATAAGATACAAGACTGTTATTTGGTATAAGGATCACGTAAGGAAGGGGAAGTTTACATTTTTTTTTAAAGTGGGCGTCGTCCCGCCCCCTAATAGGTTTAATGTGCATATCTCCCTAGCCGCTAAAGCTATAATAACAAAATTCACTGAAAGTGTTTCTTGCACGTCTAACGACAGCGCGAAAATGGTTAAATCGGGTGACGACCCCGGCCACTTTCCATATAACGGTATTGTTAAAAACTACTAAAAGCGCGGTAAATCAAGCACTAAACACGTCAGAGACATTAAATTTTATCTCTGATGATATAAAATGACTTTATATTAACCGCGCTCAAAATTAGACACTGGGCGTGGCACCGCCCACATTTAGGTGAAAACCCATATCTTGGGATATGCTTAACCGATTTCAACCAATTTCGGTACATAACATTCTTCTTATATTTCTTTGCTTTTCTGCGAAAACGGGTGAAAACGGATTACAACCACGCCTATTTCCCATATAACACCATTTTAAATTCCATCTGGTTCTTTCATTTTCCACTATGCAAATCAAGCAACAATGATTACATCGGGGTAAAACTTTGCATAAATAATGCGTTTAAAGTATGCCACATAATGACCAAAAATTGTCTAAATCGAAACGAAGCTGTTCAAGCCAGTAAATAACTGAGGCAACAGTTCCTTCTTCTTATTATTAATATATATAAAGAAATCTAGAAAAAGAGTATACCGTTTAACTTTGCGAGAGTATAAAATGTTCGGCTACATCCAAACTTAGCCCTTCATTACTTGTTATTTAAATATTAAATTAAATGCGTCTTCTGAAAAAAAAATTCACAAAAAACTCGTTTTATCTGACTTGCAAGTGGATAAAATTCCTAACACCACAGTTTGATATTAACAGAGGTACATCAGTAAATGATCAGCATGATGAGCTGAGTTGATTTAGCCATGTCCGTCTGCCCGTCTGTATATATGCAAACTAGTCCCTCAGTTTTTAAGCTATCGATCTAAAATTTTGCACCTGTCCTTTTCTCACTAAGGAGCTGCTCATTTGCCGGAACGACCGATATCGGATCACTATAGCATATAGATGCCATACAAACTGAACAATCGGAGTAAAGTGCCTGTATGGAAAACTTCTTTATTTGACGAGGCATCTTCACGAAATTAGATCGGGGTCAAGTTATTGTAAGGAACCTTTTTATCTGTGAAGGGTATTATAGCTTTAATTCAACCGAAGTTAATGTTTTTTCTTGTTTTATTATACATACATTCCATATGTATGAATAAAAAAAGCTTGTTGTCATACTCGAATCAAGTTTCGAATAAGTGCAGTTGCACTCTTTTTTATGTACATTTTAATTAATATATTTTTATAATTTCCAAAGAACACTTAAACCATTTATTAACCTTTCACATTTATGATAAACAAGAGAAGCGTCAATTTTGGCTAAGTTTGGTCACGTGGAAACATTGTAAAACTGGTGGAAACAAAAGCCGCCAAATTGACAGAAGTGTTAGGAAAGCGAACTGACTGAAATTTAACTGATGTCTTATATATTCACGTACATACATTCTATATACTACATACTACATACATAGTATGTTTACACGTGTCTGTACTTTTATTTTATTATGTAAACCAGTAACAACTAAAAAATTGGTCACCAAGAGAATTCAGATTTGATAAAAAAAAAACTCAAACCAGGCAGATTTACACACATACATACCAATGTACGCGTATCATGATGTATATATATTGTATGTGTCTATATGTACATAGGTATGCATATATGTATACAAGTATGTACATATGTATTTGCACACAAGCTGCCTTTTAATTAAAATTAATTTGACTAATTTGTTATTTATTCTTAAACAAAAAAATAGTATTTACATATTTAAAAAATAAATAAACTATTACTATTGCCAAAACGCTGAGTTGGTAACAGAACAGGAAGAAGCGGCTAAAATCTAACCGCATGTCGTTCTGTCCGTCCGCTCAACTAATTAAGCTTACATTTTAGCAATATATTTTAATCTGGCCACATTTACATGCTAAATTTAATGTAAATAGTGTATAAAAAGCGATTTTTGAGAGAAAAGTAACAACTCTAGTAACAAAAGTACCGTATTTACCTCGACACAGTACAAGTATTCGAGTGGTCTTTCGCGTACAGTAGCAAAATTTAGATAATCATTTTTGCGCATTTATTTGTACATTTGTACGAATATTTGTTATGAATATTTGCTATGTGTTGTTGTAGTTGTAATCTCGTTTTCTAGGATTAGTGCGGCCAACAGCTTGGCCAGATGTGGTGGGCTACGTGCAAAACTTCACGTACGCTTGCGCGAAGGCCTTGAAAAGGTTCCTTCCTATGCCAGACTATGCTATAAATGGTACTAGTAAGCTGATTGCATGTGAAAATTCCAACATAAATGAATTCTTGCGTTCTTTATTTCTTTTACAACAGGGCACTTGCAGTTTTTGTTGTTACGTTGCTTGCAAGCATTGATCATGTTTCGTTGCACGTACGCCTGGCGTCAAATTGCACGCTTGATCGACATCGGCATCGGCACTTCCTTGCCAATTATTATGAACAATTTGTCAAGTATGCGCTTGCAGCGGTGATAAATTGCTTCGGCTACATGAAGTTTTAAATGACGACTTAATTGCCGTATTACGAGGGTGCAATTCTGGTAAATATCAGGCAAGTCTTGATAAATATTTCTGTTGTCATCAGTGAGTGTTTGCAATGCGAATTTGTTTATTTATTTATTTTTTTTTTATATATATATTTTTTTTTGTGTAACTTTCTCCTCCGCTTTGTTTTCGAGCTTGTGTCAGAACGGGTACACCTTCTTTGGGCAATTTAAGTTGTTCAAGTTTTTTACAACATTTGACATAAGGAGCCATTAAATGTCTTGAACCAAATTGACTTTGGGATTTCGTTTGTAATTGTTTTGCCAAAATCAAGGTTACACTCAAATTTGGTGATATCCGCTAATTCTGCGTAAGTCCATAATGCAGTCAAGGTCAAATATTCTTGTTAAAATATGATTAGACCAGTTATTTGTAATATTTTTTTGAAATATGCATATATATATTTTTTTTTGTTATAATTTGTATTAATTAATCGATATAATTTGTATTGCCAACACTCGTTCTATAGTTAATAACTTATCTTCTATTATAAATATTTTAAGGTTACTACTTTTGCTAATTGCATGAGAATCTCTCGATAGACAAGACCCTGTC